TATGTTATGATATGATATGATATGATATGATATGATATGATATGATATGAATGTATGTATGTATGTATGTATGTATATATGTATGTATGTATGTATATATGTATGTAAGCATATACGCATATTTTGGGTTAGTGCAACTGTCTGTTCCAACCCTTTTGCACTGTGTATCTTTCTTTTTGACGATCGCCAGGCGACTCTGAGCCGTGGCAACGCAGGAATTAGCAGAAAACACATTTCGGTCTCATGCGACCCTGACCTCACCTGTGGGCCGAATGCGGAGTTGGTTCCTCCCCCTCTCCCTCACTCTGTCTGCATGCATATATGCACAGATAATCACATCAACATATGTCTATTTCCATACACATATACATATACATACACATATACATGTACATGCACACGTACATATACATATACATATACACACGCACCTCCAAGCATGTATCTACATACATACACATCGACCTGAAAAGCCGTTTCTCGCTCCTCATCTCTTTGCACGTTCACTCAAGTCACATGCTGGCTCCCTCAGTCTTGCAGCGGGGCGGAGGGCTGGCGCTACCCTACCCAAGCTTCTGGCTCGCTGCAGCGCAGGCGGATGGTTTACAGGCGGCGCGAAGGGCTTGACCAGCTGCATTAACTTTCGGCCCTGCCCTGGGCAGGTCCCTAACTAAGCCTTGACAGAGGGTTGAGGGTTTTTTTTGGGCTTGTCGGAAGAAGGATCCTATCATGATGGGTCGGGGCGCCTGGCGACTCAGGTAGACAAAGGAGAAGAAACACCAATGCCTTGCTGCCTGCAAGGCTAGCTGGCTCCGCATGTTCATTCACGGAGCTTGAGGCAACTCTAACTTGCAGCTTTTTGAAGTGAATATCGCAGAATATTCCATCAAGATTACGGCCGTGGCCGGTACGGATCATGAAGCCCGTGGTGATCCAGCTGCATTCATCTACGTTTACCAACATGCAAATAGCTTAAACGGGAATGGTTCATGTCTACACACTGCCTCGAGCCGAAATGCATGCAAGGAACTGTTGCAAACCCTAACCGGCAAGGCTACACTTGCAACGATGAGACCCCCCCGCCTGTGCAATTCCGAAAAACTCCAAAACCCATGTCCAGCCGCAGGCTGCCCTGGAGGTGTAAAAAGCAATACGTTTCAGACTACCGAGTCTTGCATTCACATCGTAGAACCGCAGGACTCCGAAGCAAATCACGGCCGCAATATCGGCCCAGGGAGTTCCATTCTGATACAGTCTTACCATCGTCGACTGCAGCCGTGGACGATGCCCCGACCGACCCGCGCACTGCCCTTTTCGACGCAAAGGCGAGCCAAGGACCGGCCTGAAAAGGTCCGCATAGATGTCGAGGCGTGACAGCACCACTGGTGCAGTGTGCGTCACGACGCCTTCTTCACGAAGTGCGCTGGACCTACTCTTAGTCTTAATGTGGGCCTCATAGAATGGGCCATCCCCATTGCAATGCAGTGTCCAAATCTGCTTGACCACAGAGGCAAGACCTGCAAACCCGTTGCAAGATCCTTTAGCGTTAGCGACACAGATCGCTGGGCACAGGGGCTAGGTGTGAGCTGAGATCAAAGCGTGTCCTGGCTTTCCTCTGCCACAGCCACGGCACGAGGAAGGTAGGAGGCAGCAGGGCAGCAAATAAGTTCGCACCTCACTCTCGGAGATTTTGGAATCTGGGAATGCCGCACGCACAGCAGCAGCGATCCTGGACGGTCCGCAGACTCAAGCCAAAAGAGTGGCCCAGAAGGGAGAAGACCCGCCCGTAGTGCTGCAGAAAAGCCGCACATGCTCGGCGGGCTTCCTGCTACCACGGCAAAGGAGGCATCCAAAACCGCCTTCTGAAGGGAGCTATCCTCCACCAAGCTCACTGCCGACCAAATCCTGTGCTCATCGACAGGCACGCCATATCCGAGCAGCTCCATGCCCTTGCTGCGGCCTTAACTGAGGAGGAGACGAACCCCTGAGAACTGGCCCTTCAATCAATTAACCCCCCAAACCAAAAATTCCCAAAAGAGGAAACTCCTGCAGCTTCAGGAACATCTCTTTACGCCTCAGGCTTGGGGAAACCGCCCCTAAACCCGAGGATTCTCCGAAAAGCGCCGAGTCCAAAGCCCCGGCCTCCTTCGGCACCGCAGGAAGAGGCAAAAACCCTTTGCAAGGCCCCAGGCGGCCCAGGTTCAGAAGGGAAGTTAGGGTTTTAGGGTTTAGGGTTTAGGGGTTTTAGGGTTTCCGCGCTCACACCCGGACAAGCCAGGCGAGGTTATTGCTGCGTGGTGGGATGAGGCGAGGAATGAATGCCTCGACAAAAGCGGCAGAAAGGGCTTTTGACTCTTTTGACCCTTCTCGATTTGCGCAGGGGCCATGCTGATCTTCTCTGCACCGTTCCAATTTTATGGGAAAGCTTTAGGGTTTCGACTCTCACTCTCGCACAAGCCGGCGAGGCTCCTTTTAGGGTTGAGACTCTCACAGCTCGGACAGGGTTTCAGCACTCACACTCGAACATGCCTCGGGCAGGGTTTACGCTCTCGCAACTCGGACTCCGCCAGACGAGGTCTCTGTGTCCACCTACGCCAACTCGACGACTCTCTCGGATAGGATTTAGGGTTTAGGCTCTCAGAACTCGGGCTTTTTCAGGCGAGGGCCTAGTAGGTTCCAGTCGGCGTGAAACCAGGGACACCTGCCCTGGGTTTAGGGGTTTAGGGGTTTATGGAGCGAAGGGTGGCGGCCGGAGGCAGCAAGCATTTAAAAGCCTGGAGAGAAGAAACACACGCATATCTGCAGCGCAGCGGAAATCTTCTTTTTACTTGGCAGTTGGTGACGCTCTTTTCTGGGTTACTTGGTAGCTACCCTAATCCTAAACCCTAGGCCCTAGTGGATGCCACGAGATCCGTCTATCCGACCCAAGAAAAATACGGGCTTGCGAGTCAGGACAGCCAACCGGCTACCCAGTCTCGATGGCATACTGTTTCGGGTAATCTGAGAAATACTTGGCGATCGAATCATCTGGGCAGTAGCGCATGCTAGCCGAAAAGGTACGTGTTGCGTTTCCAGCGCGTCCAGTCAACACCACGTGTGCGGCCAGGCATCAGTTCTGCAGCACTAGCTCAGCACCCCATCAGCTCATCCCGGATACGCCACTGCCACCCGAAAAGTACCCATGACTTCCGGCCCCGGGCTTCAGCACTCAGGTCCCGCCACAGATATTCCAACGCCGACAAACGCCACAGAGTCTTGACTCGCAGCCGGGGACGTCGACTCTTGAGATCTCTGTGAGGATGGGCCAAAGCACAAACGTTTAGGGTTTTTTTCCCTCCCACTCAGCTTGGACGAGCCCGCGTTTCGGGTTTAGTTAGGGTTCAGGGTTTTGCGTTTAGGGCTGGGTTTAGAGCCGGGCTCAGCACACAGCTTGACCTGCAACGCGGTCGCCAACACGTCGACGCAACAAGCTGAAGAATTTGACACGCGCGGGGCGCAGGACAGGCAGAACAACATGTGAACCCGAGCCTCAGCAAGGCCAATCCCTACTGCTCCTGTTCACGCCAGTACAACCTGGATTCTTCTGGAGGCTTCCGGTATCTGGGGCTGTTTGGACTGAAGCTCCACGAGGTGCCATGTCTCCCTCCAGAGTTTCTTCTTCCACTCAGCAGGTCACATGCAGCAATGCCCATCGTCCCATATACTTTGAAAGCGCCCTGGCCAGGATGCAGCCGAGTATGATTCGTCACATCCGCGACTCTCCGTGATGCCTGCGCCGCAGCACAAACTTTCCCATTGAGGTGCACTTCAGACGCACAAAGTGCTGCTGACAATCTGGGTGAACTAGCAAGGCTTGCTGTTTGAACGAACCCTGCGTGAGCCGCGAATCTGGCCGCAACTTCCTTGAGGAGCAAAACCGTTTGCCAGCACCCCTCCAACTGACGGCACCCGCTTCCCTGAAGGGCCCCCGCAGACGGGTTGAGTGTTCCGGGCACAGGCACAGGTCGTGCCAAACGAGAGCATAACGAGCCTTTTGGCGCATGGCTTGGCTCGGGACTTCACAGAATGCGCCTCGTTGCCGGTTTTAGTCCGAAAGTCAAAGCAGCAGACTTGGTGTTTGGGAGTCTGGACCTAAAGTCAACGTGGCAAGGAACAAACTGTATTGCAAAGCCGTGAGAGCCGGGTTCGGTGCCTTTCCCGTAGCATTTGGCCTCTCAGCGCCGGGACCTAGACCGTACGCGTAGCTAGCAGATCTCGTTTTTTTTTGAGAAACACCGAGACAGCCTGTGACCTTCTGCCAAGCATTGCTTGGAATCTTCTGTAGGGTACCGGCATTCCAGGAAAGGAAGGCCCAAACCAGCGCCGGAGCTCAAGTTTCCTTCTCCGTGCGCGGTCACATCCCCGTCGTTGACATAGCACTCTGTTCGGGAAGGTCGCTGCTGCCCGTGCGTCGAACAAACGTCGTTCGGGGCACCTCAACAGCTTTAGCAATGTCAGTGCTGATGACCGTCGCAAGCTAGAAGTGCACGCTGTGCTAGCATCGATCGCGGAGACACTTGCGCAGCTGACCTTGACGCTTTGCGAGCAGTAAATGCGAAAAGCGGAGGTTGCGTCAAAAGAGGAAACGGCTTCTTCCCCCTTTCACTGCCTGAAGACACAGGGCGGTTTAAGACAATGTTTCACGGGCGTGCCTTTCTGTTCCATGCCAAGATGAGAAATGAGAAGTCCGGGTTTGAAGCTGTGCCTTGCGGAATGTCTCCATGGCAGCACTTGCGTTTTATGGCACCTTACATCCCGTGAAAAGAGCAGCCTCTGCGGCTACACGATGGGTGCTGAGCTCGGTGTCGATATTGGTTGAGTCTCAGGAAATTTCGAGCGGGCTTTGAACCCAGGACACAAACAGTTCCAGTGACCGGCACATGCTACCAGCGCATGTCGTGTCAGCGGACAACGCAGCAATAGCCGCATTGGCAGCTGTGCAGCTGGAAGGCTTTGGCATCTGGCCGCAAAGCAGTTCTCTACAGCTTTCACTGGCCCTGGGGAAGCAGACAAACCCTCGGTCTGCGAAGGAGCTGGTGGAGTGCTTTCTGTGGCTTCCTTCCTTCATCTCGCATTCATGTATCAAGGCACGGGCCTGGATTTTTGCCGGTCGAATCCGAGCATGGCCTGGCAATCAGCAGACTCCTTGCTGGCACGAGCTTAGCTGAAAAGCAAAGCCTGGCCTTTTTGGAAACACCTGAGACCTCAAAAACAGCGTTGAATGGATAAGGCCGTGCGCCAGAGCGAAACTAGCAAACCTAAACCCCAGGGCTAACTCTTGCACCGTGGGACCATGAAGAGCGAAACTCCACCCAGTGTCTCTTACAGCAAACCTAAACCCCACGGCTAACTCTTGCAACGTGGGACCACGAGGGTGCAACAAGGCGTCCGCCATGCGGAGGGGGAATGGCAAAAGAAGCAGCTGAGATGAAGTGCTACCATGTCGGTCGTCACGTACACAAGTGATCGTGCTACTTGTGCGGCATCTTTCCCATTTCACATCGAAAGCTCAAGAAATGCCGGTGCCCGCACATGCTACAAGCGAATGTCGTGTCAGCAGACAGCACATCGTTAACAGCAGTAACAGCGGTGCACCTGAAGGGCTCTGGCATCTGGCCGCAAAGCGGTTCTGTACAGCTTTCGCTGGTCCTGGGGAAGCACACAAACCCTCGGTCTGCGAAGGAGCTGGTGGAGGGCTTCCTGCGGCTTCCTTCCTGCATCTCGCATCTTGCTGGCACGAGCTTCTGAAAGCCGAGCCTCAGCCCGGCTGCCTCCGCCACAGTGGCTACGGCCCCCTGCACTTCCGACAGCAGTTTCACAGCTTGCGTTTTGACTTGCATAGCCGCTGCCTCAAATGCCACGCAATCCACTCACATTGACGACTCTGAGCGAGCATGCAACATTTACCTGCATTCTTCAAGCATTGCCGGACATCCCAAAATGCCGACGACAGCCCACAAAATTGCTTAGTAGTCAGCATGACTGCAACATCCGAAGTGGCATGTTCAGCGAGTGCACTGCCTTCGTGCGAAAGGGATTGCACACCCCCACGGGGTCATCGGCCACAGGCAGATTGCCACCACGCTGTGTCAGCGGAAAGTAAGAAGATGCCTGAACTGCACTGGCCATTATCCTTCAACAACACCTCGGCCTGTGACCCCACAGGGTCACGAGAGACTGCCGTACGCGACCTTCGCTGTTTTCAACACCTTCCCCACTCCGATGAGTGGCCAGTTGAGATGCGCGGGTGACGATGACATTTTCTGTTTCTGCGGAGATTGAGTGCAGTCAGAGCGCGAACCTTGATTTTAGAACCGTGTTGTAGCGAGGACCAATTTGGGAAGCCGTTTTGGTTAGCGCGGCTTCATGCTAGCTAGCTGAACTCCCAGTACCAACTCTTGTAAACCCACCGTCGATGCTCCTGCAATCGCATTGGGAACCCACAAATGTATGTGCCTCAAGTCGGATGCTGTGCTCAGAACATAGCTGCACCTCAAGAGATTTCGTGAAAACACGACCGTGAAACAAGCCGAAGTTAGCTAGTGCAAGGTGCAAGAGAGGCAGGACAAGACTTGGAGCCAAGCCTCAGGAAGCCCACGGCCTACAGGAAATCTTCCGGAGGCTTCAAAGAAGTACCCAAGTCAAATCTTGCCCCTGCCATTTAGACAGGCAAGGCGTCGGACATCAGCAGAACGGCGGTCGGTCCATCAACTTGGCGCTGGCTCCCTTCATCCCGCCCCTACCTTTGGGAGGGGGGTACTGTATTGAGTGCCAACACATGACTAGCTCGGGGTTGTTCTTTATTATGGTCGCAGCCCGTAACTCGAAAATCGCCTTGCGCTTCGTCCTTGCGCGCACTTGAGCACGCACGGTTTTAAACACATTCCCACCTTGAAGCCTTGGTAAACCTTCTTACACTACTTTATCGCCCTTGTGCTCGCCTTGCGCGCTTGCACCGTGCTGGTTTTGGAGCAGGTCCTAAACCTGCATCAAAATATGAAAGTGCTCTAGGGTCAAGAGGCGGGGGTTTACAACAACTCTCGGCTGAGTTTGCTGGAGCCTTGCACCGTGGTCACACAATGCCCTGGAAGAAAATAAGAAAAATCTGGACGACGCCTGCAGCACATGCTGGCCTACGATAGCTCGTGCATACACACTACGATGCCGGGGCTGAGGCATGTGGTGCAGCTGCTTACATACACTGCCCAATGAGCACCGGTCCCCCTGAGGATGATGTCGTGCTTGCTAACCTAAATTTGCAGGCTGCCCCAGCGGACAGTCGAGCTTCCATGCTTGCAGACGCCACACAGCTTGCACACCATGTCCAATGCAATACCTGCAAACTGTCGTATGCCCGGTTTTGGACACGCTTTGTTGGGAAGTTCATTGCCGCCTGTGCCACAGATGATCGTCGGCTCGGCCGCAACGACAGCTTATGATCGTCGGCTCGGCCGCAACGACAGCTTCAGACATGTCCGCGTGGACGACCGGCGCAAGTTAGAAGCGTCGTGCAAGCAGGTTCAGCTGGTCTTTATGGCTTGTGGTCAGTAATTACGAGGCAATAACGCAGGTCGTGTCGTCGTCTTGGCTTGCGAGCCTAGGCGATCACGTAATCTCCCGCCATGCAGGGCTACACATTGACTTGGGATGGAGCGAGTCTCGCTACATGATCACATCTTCCGCTTGGCCTCGCGGCCTCTGCCGCAGAAAGCAAAGCTGCTCAGCTGCATGCCCTTCCGCATGCCTGCTGCGCCCTTATTCATGCCGAATCAAAGGAACATTAGGACAACCTTCATGAGGGAATGCTCGATACCGGCCTGGCCTGTGGATCGCTGTGAACTTGCACAGCATCCAACCGGCTCGCTTGCACCAAGAAAGGAAACAGCGAACAGCTTGAGGCTACAATAGCTCACAACTCTCACAGGCTCCAACACAAATAATGTTCCTGCATGCCAAGAACCCTTCACGGAAAGGCTGCGTAGCCGTGCAACTCAATGCTGCAGGAGTGAGTGCAGTGCGGCTGAATGATTGCCCTTGCCTATAATAAATGGGGTGTCGTGTCTGCGCTCTTGCTCTACAGCTGCATGTTGTAGTGGCAGACAGTTGAACTTTCATGAGAGCCTACAGCAGCAAAACACTCGTATCTTGGACTCGATGATGGACGATCATGAGTACGCATACAACACATCAAAACCTGAGAAAGAAGGACCGTCTCGACACCGCAACGCCTGCAAGCTCTCAACCTTCTCCGCAGTGCGTTTTCTCCGATGGATGACCTCCGCAACATGCCCTTGCATTCTGCTTGTCTGCATCTTGGCTTTATCATCGATTCTCTAGTTGTCTGAGGCGTTGCCACACATGGGCTTTATGCTCGCTCTCGCCGTTGGCGGCCTGTTATCCTCCGAAGCCCAAGCCAGCCGCAACAAGCATTGAACAGCTTGCCGGTACAATAGCTCACAACTCCCGCAGGCTCCGACACAAGTACTGTTCCTGGACGCCGAAAATCCTTCAACCCTTCACGAAGTCGTGGCCCCACAGCCCGAGGTGGTGAGGTCGTGCAACTGGGTGCGACAGCGCTGCGAGAGGGCTCAATGCATAGTGGATCTCCTCGTTAGGCCTTAGGCCGTTGCTTCACCTTGTCTTCAAGCTACTTCGGGACCTCGTGGCCTGGTGTCTTTGCAAGCCAAGAAGGCCAGGTCTGTAAGCATGCGGGTCATCGGACCGGAGGAGCCACCACGCCAAGTCAGATGCTTCAATTGACGGCAGCAACGGTGACGGGTTGTTGTGGATTGCTTGTTGCACTGGAGATGCAACGCGGTCAACGCCACGGCTGTGCTGCCGTAGAAAGCGTGCAGTAGCAGTGGGCGGGTGGGTGAAGCAAGTCTCGGCACCTGTGCGCGGTGCTTTCTTTGGACAGATCTCCGTTCCCAGTGTTCCACTGCTGGCAAAAATCCATCGTGGGCGTCCACGCACGGGACGTTGGCTTCAAAGAAAATTCAGCAGCGACCCTACTATCCTCGTTGGTCGAGAGGACGGGACCCCAAGGAGCATCGGATGCCTTGCCATGGGCCCACCTGACATCCCTCGTGCAGGTGCATCAACGACCTACGAGCATCGAACGGGACCACCTGCGCTTCAGCAGATACGAAACACATGGCCCCATCACCAGCCCGGAAAGGCAGCTGCTGCATGCTGCTGCCCTGTATGAGATGAATCGTGATTTCATGCAGGCTTGTGTCAAGGTATGGGGCGTCACTCTGCCACCAGGAGGTCTCTACACTCTTGCTGAGCATTGAATCATTCGTTCAGTTTCGTCAGGCAGACACCAGTCGAAGCCGACACAGGCCTCGTTCGGACTTGCTGCCACAATGCAGCGACACGACGCACCACCTGCCATCCCTGCTTCAATAACATATCGCATGTGCCCACCTGCCCTTCAGCCAACACTCCAACGGATGCAGCCATCACAGACCGGAACACTCCGCTGTTTCCGTTTATGACAATCTCGAGTTCACGCGAGATCCAGTCGGTGTATGGGGCGTCACTTTGCCACAAGGTGATCTCTACCCTGTCACTGGGCTTGTGCAGCATTGCCTGGCAAACACCCGTCGGTGCAAACGTGGGCATAAACTCGCCTCCAGAACTGACAAGCGCATCCAGACTGGCTCAGAGCACGGAACGTGCCCGGCTGCGACGGACCTGGAAGGCTCCGGAGAGGCGCAAGACAGCCAGGAGGCCCAGAAAGCACAAAGAGCGCTTCGAGTCACCGACCTGGGTCCTTGCACCGATGGAGGCGCAACCAGGGGAGGGAGAAAACCCTGCTCTCATGTAGGGTTTAGGGTTTAGCGGCTTAGCGTTTAGGGTTTGGCCACGGTGTACTTGAGATTCCCGGGCAATGTAGCAGCGACTAGATTGACTAGATTATCTGCACAACAACTCGCGCAGAGTCCCTCCACACAGAAGCTCGCAACGGAAGGAAATGACCAGGCGTGACAAGCGTCCAGTTGGAAGTGCTTCGCCTCCCCAGAAATGCCCTGTGCCAAAGCACAGGAAGGGCCCCATAGAGACACGCTTCGAGATACAGTGACGCAAATCGGTTGCCCGGTTCTGCACAACTCAACTGGACATGGCTGGAAGGCACGCGCCTTCCCCGCCCCTGATACGGCTGGCAGAGCTTGGAAGGGCACATACAACACACGGCCTGAACCTACATGGTAAGGGGCACGTCCCAAGAGAGGGTGCCGCAGCGGATGCGTTTCGGGCTCTCTGCCCGAGAGCCTATCCCTGTCCAAGACACTGTCACTGCACTCGCCGTGCGTCTAGAGCTCTGCCAACACCTTAAGCCCCTAGCTGCAACTCCCAAGATGACTGGAGGCTGGGCTTGGAAAGCCGACAGCACACGCCACATACTCGGCTGAGGTGACGGCTCTTCACAGAAGTGACCAGCAGACGAAGAGGAGGAGGGCCTTCTTGAGGCCTTCTCCCTGCCTTGGTGCCCAGCGGCCTCCACTGGCCACCAAGCTGCACCGCCCGATCCGGCAGCCGCTTACTGCCCAGATGTATAGGCCGCCTTTCTGTATCCCTATCAATGTGGAGGGGCATAGTACACAACAGTTACACAACAGTTTTTACTACCCAGATAGCTGGGAAGCTAGGCCGGGCTGCGCATGCCGAAAGTGCAGAAAGCACAGGGAAAAGAGCAGCGCACAAGAACTTGTCACGAGCTTGAATCCATCAGCTTTGGCCCGCGCCTTACAGCCACCGCCCGGTGGCCCATGCTGCCCCACGTCAGTCAGCTGTCCACGCGTTGGCTAGGATAAGCTGGCAAGGACCGGCTCCA